GTGTGTATATAATGATGAATGTCTCTGTGCGCACACCTGCGCATATACGTTTGCACTTGGAGTGTGTGTATATAATGATGAATGTCTCTGTGCGCACACCTGCGCATATACGTTTGCACTTGGAGTGTGTGTAATGATGAATGCCTCTGTGTGCGCTGCGTAGACTTGCGCATGCATGCGTGGACTTGGAGTGTGTATGTATGATGAATGTCTCAGGGCGCACACCTGCGTGTGTGTATATGAGGAATGCCTCTGTGCGCACACCTGCGCATGCACGCGAGGACTTCAAGTGTGTCGAGATGATGATGAATGCCTCTGTACGCACACATGTGCAAGCACCTTTAGACTCGGAGGGTGTGTATATGATGAATGTCTTGGTGCGCACACCTGCGCATGCACGCGTCGACTTGGAGTGTGTATATATGATGGATGCCTGTGTGCGCACACCTGAGCGTACACGCGTCGACTTGGAGTGCGCGTCGACTTGGAGTGTGTATATATGATGGATGCCTGTGTGCGCACACCTGAGCGTACACGCGTCGACTTGGACTGTGTGCATACGATGAATGTCTCTGTGCGCACACCTGCGCATGCACGCGTGGACTTGGAGTGTGTATATGATGGATGACTTTGTGCGCACACCTGCGCATACGTTGACTTGGAGTGTGTGTGTATGATGAATGTCTCCGTGCGCATACCTTCGCATGCACGCGTGGACTTGGAGTGTGTATATGATGGATGACTTTGTGCGCACACCTGCGCGCCCATGCACACGTCGACTTAAGGATGACTCTGTGCGCATACCTGCGGATGCACGCGTGGACTTGGAGTGTGTGCAATTGATGAAAATCTCCGTGTGCATACCTGCGCATGCACGCGTGGACTTGGAGTTTGTATACGATGAATGCCTCTGTGCGCGTACCTGCGCCCATGCACACGTCGACTTAAGGATGACTCTGTGCGCGTACCTGCGCATGCACGTCCGGGCTTGGAGTGTGTGTATATGACGAATGTCTCTGTGCGCACACCTGCGCATGCACGTTTTCTCTGGGCGCACACCTGCGCATACACGTTTGAATGTCTTTCTTTGCACACGTGCGCATGCACTTTTGGCGGGTATATGTTAAATGTCTCTGTGCGCGTACCTGCGCATGCACGTCCGGGCTTGGAGTGTATGTATATGACGAATGTCTCTGTGCGCACACCTGCGCATGCACGTTTTCTCTGGGAGCGCACCTGCGCATACACGTTTGGACTTGGAGTGTGGGTATGTGACGAATGTCTGTGCGCACACCTGCGCATGCACGTCTTCTCTGGGCGCACACCTGCGCATGCACGTTTGGACTTGGAGTGTGGGTATATCATGAATGTCTCTGTGCGCACACCTGCGCATACACGTTTTTACTTTGGAGTGGGTGGCGTTTTTACTTAGGACTGGGTGTATATGATGAATGTCTGTGTGCGCACACCTGCGCATACACATTTGGACTTGGAGTGTGTGTATGTGATGAATGTCTTTGTGTGCACACCTGCGCATCCTGGAGTGTATCCCTCTATCCGTGTTGAGACGCGACTGCCCTCCACACACAGCACCGCGCTCGGGCTCATCCTCGGCAAGCCAACTTCAAGGAAGGTCCATCAGCCAGACAGGCCGGAGGCCCGCCCGACTGACGGAAGGAGGAGAGCCGTCTTGGGGGATTACTCACACATCATGGCGCCCTGTGCCTTGGCAGTCTAGGTGGCCCGTGGCCCCTCTCTCCGGGCAGGGAATCTCTCAATGAGCTAAGACAGAGGGAACGCGGTGCTGAGACGAGACTCACCGCTCACTAGGATGCCCGACTACCCTCTCAACGGTGGACAAGGCGGACTCACAGAGGATAGGAATGGAAGGATACGAGCGACGAAAGGAATGGGAGTGGCTGGAAGCACTGAAATGCGACAAGTAGGGAAAATCAAGGAGAGGTACTGAGGATGAGGTCGGGATGGAAGGAAAATGGCCAGATTAGTGAGCCCGTCGGCATCCTTTTCACACCGGTGTGGAACTTTTCACACCTGTGTATATTTATTTCACACATGTGTGAGTTTATTTCACACACGTGTGAAATCACTTTCACACATGTGAAATTCCAAGTAAGGGGCGCCCACGCAGTGGGCACCCCGGGCCGCGAATTGGGCGGGGGTCGAAATCAGCGTTGTTGTTGGTTCAAGTATGAGTCACACGAACGTGCACAGCACGAGTGTCGATGAAAAGGACACCGACTCGTGCAACAACGGCGAGAGCTTGAAAACATTCGGATCTTGAAAACAGAGGGGTTGACAACATGCAGGTACTCAGAGTGGGTGCAAAGAGAAGCACACTAAGATCATGCTGACGTTGTTCAAACACACGGCACATGGTGCGAGTCGCATGCAGCGTTTGTGTCGGACTTACCGAGTGACGATAGGCGTCACAAGCTCATGCAGAACTCGTGAAGAAGACGACGTGAAGATTTATCGATACTTCGTGACAAGGAGAAAGATCATGCCACATCACTCGCCGAAGAGACCCAGAAGCTGCTCAATGACCAATACGACCGCCTGTACGCGAAAAACACGGAGACTGCAACACATGTGTTGTAGCTGCTTGGGCCCGTCTACCTGTCTGACCTCACTGGCGGCAAAGAGACCATCTCTCACTCGACGGACGGCACAAGACAGCCCTCAGGTTGCTGCTCCTGCTGCACCCACGTTAAAGGCGTACTTCGCCAAACACATCAATGCATCGCTGCACGCAAGTACATCAATGCATCGCTGGACGCAATTGGATGTGAGGTGATGACGAGCGACAGAGGTGCGATGATGACGAGTACGAGTACACCATGCATGTATCCACCTAATCTATCTGTCTGTCTGTCTGTCTCTTCTATGTGCATTTCTGTGTACCTTGCGTTGAAGGCGCTGTCGAAGACTGCCGTCGATGACTGTCGATCGGCTTGTCAATCAAATGGGAGCCGCCAGGATCATCATTGAGCTCCAGCAGCAGCGCAACAAGCTGAGTGCTCTGACACCGGCTGTGAGCTCTTTCCCTGTCAGCAAGAGCTTCCTCCGCCTCACACCAACACCTATCAATCGAACAGTCAAGCGTATTCAACTTCCTATTGTCCCTGACTTCTGTCGCACTGTCTGGAAGGTAAAAGGCAAGAATCTCAACCTCCTCCTTACTTACCAGACATCTATTCTTTGTGAAAGAGATATGTGATGATGTTTCTTCTCTCCATGCAATGCAGTGAAGATCAGGAGGAGGAGGTCGATGTGCAGGTTGAGTATGCGTATTTCCGCCTGTCAAAGGAATGGCAGAAGCTAGATGGATTTCGACGATAAATGGCTGAGGCAGGAATGGCCTGACTGCCTGCGTGAAGAGCTGGCCAAGCTCAACAAGCTGCATGAACTGCACGAGGGCCCCTCGGCTGATTGGTTGGTTGGTTGGCGTTCTGTCCCGAGCGTGCGCATCTGTTGCTCGCTTGGTGTGACTGTCTGTCAGTCATGTGTCGGTTGTGCGTGTCCCTCGCTTGAGGTTCCCGCACTATGAAGTCAGTGCGTAAGCTTGATGCTCACCTGACTCACTGGACGTGATGAGAGATGATGTCTCTCTGTGTTGAGGCTGTGGTCGCTCGTATTCGCCCACTGGAGGCCGTACACGTATATTTAATGAACGCCGCCGCACAGGGTGGTGGGGGAGGCGCATACATTGATGCTTGTGTCCATAATAAGCAAAGAAAATGAAAAATCTGTCAAAGTCAACGATTCTGTCGATTTGGTAGAAAATTGTCTGTCGGGATGAAGCAATATAGGCAGGTTGGCAAGTAGACAGTCTTTTTGTCATTTGTCTTTGCTTGCTCAATTTGTACCAACGAGCTTGCATAACAAGCTCAGAATGTACCAACGAGCTCGCTTAGATAAGCTCGCTGCACAATGTACTATTATTTCGGCTCCGAGAAACTCGCTCGAAATGGCTCAAGAAGGCCGTTTCTCGCGCGTATGCGCCCTCACGTTCGTGCGTGCGCAGGACAAGGGTGCCTTGTCCACTTTCTTCCTCGCAATGCCGGTCATATCTGGCGGCCCGCCTCATTTCTCCTCCGAGGCGTGGCTTCTGCATGCTGCACGAGGTGCCCTCCTTTGTCATGGTTCCTGAGTGTCTCTTCCGGTCTCTGAGAGCCCCGTGTCAGCTGCGCCTTGCCATGTCTTCCTCCTGCCGTCCATTTGTTGTGTGCTTCTCGGAATCATGCCTGTCTGCATGTGCCCGACTTTCCTACCTTACATGTATCATCTGCTTCCTCCTATCTACCCCTTCACTGTCAACAGATACACTACACTCATCATGCAACCCATCTATAACACTCATGTCGTCCCTTGCACCATCATCACACCACAGACGTGGCTCAGACGTCTCTCGTTCGCGCGGGTGGCACAGCCACACACACACGCGCCACGGCTCACTCTGGTAAAATTCGGCCGGATTTTTGTGTGTCCGATGCCGTGTGGGGTCAGGTGCTGCAAGAACACCTCCCTCCTTTTATCAGCGAAGCGTCATTCCCCTGGGAACTTCACTGAGAATGAGCCGGAGACGGGAAGAAATGGTGCTTGAATTCAGTCTCTTATTCGGCTCAAAATGCCACCTCGTAACAGAACGGACAAAGGAGAAACACAACCACAAACTGGCTCGTTTCGTGTGTTCAGTCAGTTGATGCTTACTCTTTTGATCGATGTTGCGCTTTTTCGGCGTTCACGCTCAGAAGGAACACGGCTCGCCTGCTTCCTTCTGAGCACCCTAGGCGACGGCTTCAGGGAGCGGTTTCAGGGAGCACCCTAGGCGGCCTGACGCTTCAGCTGCAGCGGTTTCAAGGAGTACCCTAGGTGGCCTGACGGCCCAGTCCCATGTTTGTCCATCCCAACATGCAACATGCACCCCAACATGCATCACGCACACTTCTCAGTGGCTTCAGTTTGCGAGCTTTAGATTCTCCGCTTTAGGGTGCATCAATTTATCGCATGTTATAGGGTCATGAGTTTAACACGCGTCAAGTACAAACAAACGTGAAGCACGAAGACTTTTTGACGCATTCGCGTGTCTGTAGTAGTGTAAACAACACGACCGGTGTCATTGGTGTTCTTTTTGCTCCCATACGATCGTGATCGAACGTTTTGTCTGCCGCACGTGTTGTTTCAGAAAGACGCAAATTGGTACAAGCCCAATTCGCGAAATCATAGTTTTGATCGGAACCCTTAATCGTTTTCTCGACAAGAAAAGACGGGCATCTGCAAGGAGGCCCAATGCCCCAGCGTGAAGACAGAGCAGCTTCTGCGTGACTACCAGTGCCCACTCTCGCAAACGACCGACAAGCAGCGGATGGACCTGGTGATCACTCAGCATGACGGCTCCCAAGATCATGGCTGACATCACCGGCACTCACCCCACCCACGCCGACCGCCCAGGCGAGCCCAGGAACCTCATCAACCAGCAGCCCGGCACGGCCCTTCGCGCGGCCGAGAAACGCAAGAGGGACCTGTATGCCGTTGCCTTTTTACGGGGAGGGTGCACGTTCTTGCCTTTGCCCTTCGAGTCGTATGGACGCTGATCTCCGACCATGGCGACCTTTTTGCACAAGCTAGGCAAGGCAGTGAAGGAAACTCACTACAGGGACGACAGGGATTTTTCGACGGGCCGCGTCGTGGCCCGGTGGTGGGCCTTTTTGTCGTGTGCAGTCAAGCGTGAGTGCGCTCTTACGGTGCGCGGCAAGAGTGAGGCCACCACACCATTCATCCGCCCCTTCCCCAGAGACGAGGTCTGGGGGAGGGGCCCCTATTCACCCCACTAGGCCTTTTGCTCGCCCTTCGGCCACACTGTGCCGCGCCTTCTTTTCGTACGCATGTAACTTCACTGTGCCTGTGTGTGTATGTGTATGTGTATGTGTATGTGTGTGTATATGTGTGTGTCTGAGGCTGGGCTATCGGTGTTCTTATGCATCGACTAGTATGTTCGTATAAGGGCGTGTAGCGTGGGGTGTGTGTATCGGCACGGTGTCCGGTTGCGTGGCTCTCTGTGGACCTCCCTGGCCTGTGTGTGTCTGCCCCTGTGTTTTTCCCTGCGGTGTGTGTACGGGCATGCTTTGTGGTTGTCTGCGAGCCGGCCGCCTGCCGCCAGCCCACTCTCCGCCGTGGAGAGTGGAGCGGCGGTGCGCTCCGCTTTCGGACATCCTCATCTCCCCGTGTGTGTTCGTATCAAGGGCATATTTGCGTGTGACTGGTCGATCTGCACTGGCTGGCCAGCTGGGGATGTGCGGTATGTACGTAAAGAGCCATGGTCCAGCACGCACGCCGCCGTGGGGCCGCCCCATTCAGGCCGCCCGCCGGGGTGGCGTGCGTGCGACGCTACGTGTCTGCTCGTATGTTGCCGTCGTTCGCAGCGCATTGCATATCCACCTGTTAGCTGCTTCTGCCCTTTGCGTGCTGCGTGTTGCATGTTGGGGTGCGTGTTGCATGTTGCATGTTGGGATGGACAGACATGGGATCAGGCCGTCAGGCCGCCTAGGGTATATCCCGAAACCGCTGAGAAAAAACCGGGCGCTCCAGCTAGAAAATGGACGCCCTAACACCCATTTTCTCTCTGTTCTCGCAAACTTTGCGGCCGACAGAGAACTCTCGAGACAGGATAGATAAGAACAGCAGGTACTGGCTGTCGCTGCTCATCTCCTCGTTCGATCTCGCTCAGATGCCCGGCGCGCAAAAAGCTGTGCGTGAGAAGCGTCAATTGATGAGTTCCATGGCCACGTCAAAAAGAGCAGAAGCATGGGCAGCAAAGCTCAGCTCTATAGCGGACAGAACGGACAACTCGCAGGAAAGGTAAACAAGACGATACGTGACTGTATGTATCTCTCTCGCTCTGCAGGTAGTACTTCGGGTGGACATGTTGTGTCCTTCCGAGAAAAAGGTCCACTGGCCTCTAAGGATGATCGAACAAGCTTCAAGCGAATCCCTTACGGTAAGATGCTTGGCTCTGCAAGTCTCTCTCTCTTACTGCAAGTGTCTCTTTACCCGCTGTCCATGCGTCGGCTGGTTTGGTAGCGGCTGTATGGTGGGGCGCTGGGCGCACCAAGGGACGCGTCGGACGACCATGCTTTCGCGGTGATAAAAGTAAGACATAAGCAATCTAAAGCCCGAGGGCTCACCTGCGTATGCCTCATGTGTGGAGGGAGGGCGTGGATTTCCAAACACCTACCTAGGATCGGCAGGTTTCGATAGAGGACAAGAGAGATGCCAACCAACTGAATTGGCCTCCGCTTGTGAAACACTCGCTGCATTTTTTGCAGGTGAAAGTGTAACTCTTCAGAGGGCTCCATATATATCCGATCTGGTGTAAGAAGGCGCGAAGAAGTACAGAAATGGCTTCTCGTCACGTGTGCTGTTGTCTATGCATGTTTGTGTGCCAGGTCCAAGAAGTCACGGTGTTGATTCAAGGCTCCAGTCGGCATCTACCTATGGATGAGAAATCTGAAGGTATCTGAGGAAGCCGGCGTCGAATGTTCTGAACACGACGAAAGAGAACAAGGCTATGCAGATTGTCAGGGCGCTCGAGAATAGAGGTGTTAGCACCAAATGAGCTCGGGAGAAGGGACGTACTG